GTAAGCTTGCTTTAATCACGAAATGGTTCTTATGGGCCCAATTAACTGTATAAGGGTATTTAAATTAATGCCCCCCCCCCAAAAAAAAGTCCCCATTCTTATGGAGACACCCCACATATGCAGATCAATCTATTGCATCAACTGAAGGAAATTTTAAGGAGGAGCAAAAACAATGCAGAATAAAAAAAGTTTACTATTGGGAGACACACATCTGTCACTCACTTTTAGCAGGACTGTTGTGCTGTTAACTATGATGTTCTGTGTGACATCTCACACAATAAAACTGCAGAGTTCCTGTTTAACCAACTGCCTCTGAAATACTCACATGCACACAGTCTCCAGTAAGGTAAATGGACAAGTATGTTTTATTACTGTGGTATAATATATTTAGTCATCTGTATCTACAACTCTGCATTGTAAGAGATACAAAGCATAACTTTATTTAGTCAAAATGATTGTTTTTATAAAAAATGGGTAACACTTCACTTGAGAGCGCACAAATAATATAGTATTAAGCTCTTACTTATGTATTAAGTAACCACAGACTAAGTCATAGTTACATTCTGATCTCATATTCATTCATCATTAATTAATTGTGATACATCTTTTATCCCAAAAAGTTAATATATTTGTTACTATATCTATTCTGCAAACTGTTGTGAATTACAGAAGGAGTTACTGAAGAAACAAGTAATGAATAACACAAGTGAAATACTGATTTCATGTTTGTTCATCATTAATGAATCATGATGTATCTTTTATCCCAAGTAGCTGCCATGTTTATTCATGATTTTTGATTTATTAGTAATTGAGTTACTATGAAGAATTTGTGCCCCCTCAAGTTAAGTGTTACCAAAAAATGTGACAAATCAACACATACCTTTAATTATATATACTGTAAAACAGGTTCAGAAAAATAGCTTTGTTTGGTTTAGCAGTAAGTTTTTGGTGTGTCCTTGTAGGTAAATATGCATGCAATGTTTTGTCGGAATTTACAGTTTGCAGTCTAGCAGCAAAATCCTTGACCAAAATCTACACTGGAAAGCTGCGGCAGCATTGGTGAGCACAGACTTGAGCGTGCTTAGATACTGGACAGGAACAGAGAAATTAAATAATTATGTGCATAATTTCAAATCTGTGTCAAAATATAAGGTCTCAGAAATGGTCTGAATGCATGTTTTGAGAAATCTTGATATTTTCATGGAACTTAAAGAAATGTCAATTTGTCGTTTTTTTGTAATGAATTCCTGTAGTGCAGGTCACAAGTTGCATGTACAGTATGCAAAAATATGCAAGTTCTGTTCTTCCTGGAGGCCCTGAGGTTATTGTGGTTTTATGTGACCAGTGCCTAAGTGCTGCATCTTACTGTGCTGAGTGCACACTCAACAAATAGCAGCAATTTAGCATTGACTATTCTCAAAAATGTATTATGTTCACAAAAAATACCACTTTAAATGTGCTTAGTTTATTTTAGTTTTGAGTGTAGCTAAGAATTCAAGGCACTGATCAGTTCTTACATGGATGATGTGAACACGTCACCCAAGAGAGTAATTACAGCATTCACTGTAGACATAGAATATTAATTTAATACCTGCATTTTTTTTCTTTATATTGATCCAGAGAAAGGACCCTGTCAGAGAGGTAACTTACTCTAATATGGTCATTTCCTGTATGGCTCTATTGTTTAGTCATGATCTGCTAACTGAATGAAGGTCTGTGCTCAGGAACCACCTCAGCTTTTTGAAATTCCAAACGACTTACTGAGAGTATTATTTAAACACATTGTGCTTCTGGCAGGTTAGTGTACACATACAGTGAGGGAAATATTTGATCCGCTGCTGAATTCTTAAATTAACCCATTAATAAAGAAATGAGAAGTCTATAACTTCACTGGTAGGTTTATTTTAACAGCAAAAGATACATAGATCAACAAAACAAGCCAGAAAAATCATTATGTAATGGTTACAAACCAATTTGTCATTTATTTAGGGAAATAAGTATTTGATCCCTTGGAACACATGCTTTAGTACTTGGTGGAGTAACCATTGTTGGCAAGAACAACTGTCAGATGTTTCTTGTAGTTGGTCACCAGGGTTGCACACAGCTCAGCAGGAATTTTCATCCACTCCTCTTTGCAGATCTCCTCCAGATCTTTAAGGTTTGTAGGCTGTCACTTGGATACATGAAGCTTGAGTTCCCTTCATAGGTTTTCTATGGGATTAAGGTCCAGAGACTGGCCAGGTCACTCCATGACCTTAATCTGCTTCTTCTTGAAGCAGCTTGGGGTTGTTGTCTTGCTGGAAGACCCACCCACAATGCATTTTCAGTGCCCTGGCTGAAGGAAGGAGGTTCTCTTCCAAGATTTTAAGCTCCATGGCCCCATCCATCTTTCCTTCGATGCAGTGCAGCCGTCCTGTACCCTTGGCAGAAAAACACCCCCAAAGCATAATGCTTCCACCTCTGTGTTTGACAGTAGGGATGGTGTTCCTGTGGTTACAGTCAGCATTCTTTTCCCTCCAAACACAGCATGTAGAGTTGATACCAAACAGCTCCATTTTGGTCTCATTTGACCACATCACATTCTTCCAAACCTCATTGAAATTATTCTGGTGTTCACTGGCATACTTCAGATGGGTCTGAAGTTCTCTGAACATGGGCCCTCATGAACAGGGGTACTTTGTGAGCACTGCAGGATTTCAAACTATAACTGCATATTCTGTTGCCAATGGTTTTCTTGGCGACCAAGGTCCCTGCTTCTTTGAGATCATTAACGAGCTCCTCCCGTGTAGTTCTGGAGTTAGCCCTCACTTTTCTTAAGATCATTGATGCCGCACAAGACTAAATCTTCCTTGGGGCCCGAGATCCAGGGTGATTGACACTTATTCTGTCTTTCTTCCATTTGCAAAAAATTCCACCAACAGTTGTCACTTTCTCACCAAGCTGCTTGCTGATGGTCATGTAGCCCATTCCACCTTTATCAAGGTCAACAATCTTGTCTCTGACATCCTTAGACGGCTCTCTGGTGTCTCTCATGGTGATAAGATTGAAGATCTAGAAAGGTTAGTGACCAAAGAATCCTCTTTAAACAAAGTAATGCCATTAAATGTGAATGCTGGCTTGGTATCTGTTAATACAGTACTTAAGTACTACTTGTGTTGTGTAATTGTGTTAATTTCTTGATGACTTGTTGGGGAACAAATACTTATTTCCCTACATAAATGACAAATTGTTTTGTACCTGTTACATAATGATTTTTTCTTGTTTGTTTTGTTGAAAATTTGTCTTCTGATGTGAAATAAACATATAATTGAAATTATACACTTCTCATTTCTTTATAAATGGGTGAACTTAGGAATTCAATGGGGGGTCAAATAATTATTTCCCTCATTGTATTAGTGCTCTCTGGTGTCAAAGCTTCCCTACAACGGTGGGAGTCATGACTGTGGCTGAGGGATTCATTCTCATTGGCTGCCTGCTGCAAGGTGAGACACGGCCAATGGGGGGGGGGGTGCAGACTTCACTTGCCTGTTTACCGACTGCATGTTTCCTCTGTTTGCACAGTTTAATGACTTAGGTTGAATTTAATATCCTGTATTTTAAAACTGATGACATTAATACACTGACATGTTTGTTATGGTGTAAATGTACAGCAGTGTTTCTTGGTATGATTACAGGGGTTCTGTGCAGTACCTGGTCAGCCTGGATGCCTCAGAACATACAAGCTCTGCATGGATCCTGTGTGCTGATTCCCTGCACATTCCAGATTCCATCTAAACAGGAAAACAATCTGAAAGCCCCAGTCGGAATGTGGTGGTCAAACAGATTGACAACAGATAAGAAAATTGTGTTTTTCTCCAATAAAACAGAGAATGACATTCAGGGAAATATAACTGGGAATTTACTTAAGAAAAACTGCACCACAGTCCTGAACAATATTCTGATGAAATGGGCTGGTAATTTTTCCTTTAGGATTGAAGCCAACAATTCTCTTAAGTATAATTTTGATGAAACGGTGAAAATTGATGTAAAAGGTACAGCTACTTTATATTTTATATCAGTATTGATCATTATTTTACTAATACAGAGAGATTTCCAAAAAGTTGACTCCATGATTGTTGGATGCAATTCAGTTTCAGTGAATGTGAGTATTGGTGGATTTAAGCTGTGATATAATGTGATATGAATCATGTGACTCTTTGTCTCTGTTTCTTTCAGACTCCCCACCCAGCCCCCAGGTCACCATAAACAAGGACATGGTGAAGGAGGGGGACTCTGTGACTCTGAGGGAGGGGGACTCTGTGACTCTGACTTGCTCGGCTCCAGCTCCCTGTCCATCACTCCCCCCGACCCTGTCATGGACCCCCAGGCTGAGTGACAGTGTCACTGTATTTCAGGAGAATGATGATCAAACTAAACATGCATCTTCTGATATGACCTTTACTGCCTCACATCTCCTCCATAAACAGGAAGTCAAATGTACAGCAGTTTACAGGCTCCAAGCAGATAACAGTGAGAGGACATCCAACACAAATGTAACTCTCAGTGTTCAGTGTGAGTCCATTTTGATCACATTTTTATGAAATTCTGTGTGAGATTTCTTGTCATAATCTCCCTTTGAATATTATTCTGATGCATATTATGTCTGATGTAAGTGATATTCCTTGGTTACTTTAACATTCCCGCAGATTCTCCTAAAAACACTTCGGTGTTAATTGGAAAAGACGGGAGTCTAACCTGCAGCAGTGATGCCAACCCAGCAGTGAACAATTACACCTGGTATAAAGTGACTGGGAGTGAAATTGAAGTTGTTTCATACTCACAGAGCCTCACCTGTAATATCACTGAGGTCAGTGGACAGTATTACTGTCAGGCTCAGAATGAACACGGCCTGCAGAATTCAAGCACTGTGCAGCTCCACTGTGAATGTAAGTATCACTTCATATCACTTTCTGCTAAGTGACAATGTTAAATTTCACCTGTGATGATTTTCCTCCTTATTTGAACGTAAGTATAAACATACTTATCAAACCCATGATTATGCCAAAGCCAGCTGGCAGAGGAGTAACCAGTGCAAAGTGACTGAGGGTGACAGCAATACTGTCATATAGTATAACAGGAACTGAATTTAAAGCAAATCTGAAGGATGTTATACAATAAAATGGACACACCATCTCTTTGCTGTGCAGCTGTCAAAGCTCCGCCCACTTTGATTGGTGCTGTTGCAGGGGCTGCTGGGATAATTCTCACCTGCATCATATTGACAATTATTATCAAGTGAGTGTCTGTACCTGAATCTTCCCTGTATGAAAAGGTCCCTGCTTACATGAACAGTTTTTAATCTATCTATCTATCTATCTATCTATCTATCTATCTCTCTATCTATCTATCTATCTATCTATCTAGCTATCTATCTATCTATCTATCTATCTATCTATCTATCTATCTATCTATATAAAAACTGCACCTGTTTTGATATACAGGTTTTAACAGTCTATTCCTGATCACTTCATGATTTCCAGGAAAAGCTGCACCACACAGAATCATCGCAGTAAGACACAGGAAACAGGAGAATTAACAATGACAAACCAGGTGAGTCTCTCTCATGGGCTGCAGATCCACACAAAGCACTGCCATGCTGCACACAGACATGAGAGTATGGAGAGATCATAAGAAGTATGGACTTTATGACATGTTACCAACACAATTTATGTCATTAAGTTAATGACCCTCCACTGACAATTTGTAAATGACAAAACTGATGTGGAATCAGCATTCAGGTTCTTAATTATCACAAACATTCTAATGTTTTACATGGTCTGCAGTTGCCCACTTTCTCTGCCTTACTGACCTAAGTGCACTTCTCTATCCATTTTCCAAAAAAAATATATATGTTTTACTACTACTCAGCTATACTTGACAGGTTTTCATTGGCATTCATTCAGGATTACAGAAAATCTGTCTTAAGCTAAATATTCTGTTAATTAGTATGCATTGGCCTGGCATCCTGATCAGTATCTCAGTTCCACTACTATGGAATTCTACTATTTATATTTATCATTAGTATCTTGCTGTAGATTGTTCTATGTTTTGAGGCTGTTCACCAATATTTCTTTGATTAACCATTGTCGTGTTTTTTTACGACCATATAAGTGTAGTTTTTGTGGAATTATTGCATAACTGACCAGTTTAAAAATCACATTTTAAAACTTCACATGCATCTAATTTCTTTTTCTGATTTGCACTTTTGAAATCAATACAACAACAAATTTGTCAGTGTGAAAATGACACTCCAGTCGTCTATGCCAGCATTGAACACAACAGAGAGACTGAACAGGGGACAGGAACCATCCGAGGGAGCTCACAGAGCACTGAGTATGCGGAGGTCAACCTGAATACTCGGAAAGAGCAGGAAGGAACAGATATGAAGTCTGAGGTCCAGGAGGAACAGGAGCAGCATGTCAATGTCTTGGGGATCGATCCTGGACCCAGTGATAAGAGGAAGGAAACCCAGAAACCTGGTAGTGGAGATGTGTCTGGATGTGGCTTCAGAGCCCAGGAATCTACAGAGACCCAGAAGAGAAAAACTGAAATTGCGGTGGAACAAGAGACCATGGAGGACAGGAAGAGCTCAGGGCCGGATGACCAGCTGAACACACCTGAACCAAAGGAGGAGGCAACATATGGGAACATCTGCCATCAGCTGGGCACCAAAGGTCCAGATAAGAGGTCTGCTACAGTGGAAGCTTCTGGGAATAAGCAGCAAAGAGGTGCTTCTAAGGGTCAACAAGATGATTATGTTATTGTTTTAGAAGAGAGGGGAACCAATGAGAGTGAATATGCAGTGGTGAAGAAGGACAAAATTATGCAGTAGAAAATCCATCCAAACTGGTTCATGGTATTCAGACAATGGGAGTGAACTGTTACACTGTATGTGTTTTGAAAATACTGAAATGGGGAAAAAAGAAATTGCATATTTCAGTTATTTGTGGAAATTGTAAAGAATTATATCCCATTTATGCAATACATTGTTACTGCTTTATTGGTTTTATATTTTTTAGCAATACATTTTTTTAGTTGTCGTAACATGCTGCAAACTAGCTGGAACCAGCGTCTAAAGTAAAAGTAAAATTAATAGCCACCAAACCAGAAAAAATAATATCCACAAAATGAGGAAGTGCCAGCAGTTAATGCACTCTGGCTGCGTCTGAATTCAGGGGCTGCGTTTGAAGACCGGATGAGTCACAGAGGTGCAGCAAGGCTGTC